AGAAAAAAGTAGGGCGGTATGGATGACCGGCGGTTTGTCGAGTGCGTTTGTAAAAACTGCTTAAAGGACCGACTTGGATTTCAAAAATTCCAGTTTGAGGATCAAGAGTACAAGAAGTCTTAACCCTCTTTGTAAGGGATCAAAGCAGTCACAGCAGGTGAAGAGTCGTACCTGCAGGGTGGTGGACCTCTGCAGAGTCTTCTCCTTCAGAGCGCTGTTCACAGAAAGTCTCTCCAGCAGCTCAGAGTGGAGGGCTTCACTGGACAACGCTTCACTCAGCATGATGTCATGTTGGCTCAGCAGCTTAAACTTTGACCTGAAAAGACAACATGATGTAACCTTTAATGTCCCGAAAAACATAATCCTGGATTATAAAAGTTTACCATCACATCAACTAAATACTGCTGTTACAAAATATATATACGACTGTGGAGGGAAAAGAGAGGATGTTTGTTTACTGATGATCAGCTGTGATAAAATGAACGATTGGTGTTGTTGATGTCAGTATGGAAACATTAAATCATACAACACTGAAATAACACAGAATAAATTATTATCTGATACTAATTATCTAAATGCTGCAGACCTGACCTTCGGTAGAAAGTGGCGAGTCCCTCATGCTGCTTGTCTTTCACCCTGAAAACGCCGTCCAGACCGAAGGCATCAAGAGTCGGAGTCAGACTGTCTGTGAACACAGCTGAAGAGTCCAGAGAGCACAAGAAGAGTCGGAGAGTAGAATCACACAGAGAGCATGTTACGGTAACTTACATGAAGGTTATTATTTTCTTTTTATGTGTTGACATTTCTGCAAAAAAATAAACAAAACGATGACTGTGCATGTTGTACAAGTGTCAGAAATGAGACTACATGGATGTTATTTCCTTTATTACATTCACTCTTTCTGAGAGGAACTTTTTGGAGGGGTTATCTCGTCGAGGCTTTATAGAAAGTAAAGATTAAACTCTGTAAATGAACTAACATGAGGGAGGTGATGGTTTCTGTATTGCTCAAAAAGATGTCATGGTTCAGTCTCTGCAGTAGGAGTTTATTACACTACCAGCTCCATGTAGGGTTTGTTTAATTTGTGAAGCCAGTTTCCAATTCTTCACTGCATTTCATGTTTCCATGTTGGCATTAATAGCATTTAGCAATCTGTCAGTTATTTAGACATTTCAAGCCCCTCCACAAAGTGTGTATGATAAAAAAAAAGGAAAGGAACAAAAATTGATGGATGATCTTTGATGAAGAGACTTAGGACCCGATCACACAGACGCATCGCCAGCAATCTACAACAGGAGAACAAAACTAAAAGGACAACACATAACACAGCCACTTGTATGTGTGTGTTTTTGTGTCTAGCTGTATGCGCACTGATGCTCTTTTACACAAATTAAGTTCCTGACGGATAAATAAAGTTATTTGAATTTGAATTTGAATTGAAAACCATTGTTTTCCGGTGGTACAGTGCACATGCAGGGCGCTCTTCTAAGCTGCTGCACGACCGATTTTTCTACTGGTTTTTCAGCGTGCATAAAAGTTAACTTTTTTTTGGTAACTTTTCAGTTCAAGACGCGGAGTCGCAGTGCTCATCAATGTGTCTTTTGGCCGAAGTCAAATCAAGTAGGAGGCTTTACCTTCGGCATTTCTCTCCCTTCTCGTCAGGGAGCAAAGCTAAAAAAAAAAAAAATGTTCCCACTTATTAAATAGCCCGCTCCACAAGCGCTCCCAGCAGTAATTTCCCCCAGATATCCTCAGTTATGTTTTTGGACCGTCTCTGTGTGATGGGTTCCTTAATGTGAAACCTCAAAAGGAATCAGCTCGGAAAAACTTTAAATAAATAAAAGTTGCCTCACATTGGAAATCTGGACACAATGAGAGTGTTTAGTTACATTTACATGTAACTCAAACATTGTTGTCGACTCCATCTGTCAAACATCCCATGTTACCTTTGTCGACCTCCTGCAGACAGATGATGTCAGCGTTGTATCCGGCCAGCTCCTTCTTGATCAGGTTCAGCCTGTAGTCCAGCTGCAGGGCGTACGGAGCACAGTAAGGGTAAAGCACCGTCTTGGATAACTCCGTCTGGGCGTAGACGTCAGCGAGGATGTTGTATGACATCACCCTCGCAGACGGCCACTCTGCCTCTTTGATCGTGTACGCGTGTCTGTTGTCGAACGTGCAGACTCCCGGTCCTGCCTCCACGGCTCCCACAGAGATCAGCTCTTTGACCTGGCCGCTGCGCTCTCCGTCTTTAGGCGTGCAGCGCAGTTTGAGTCTGTGGCCGATGTCCTGATTGGACGGGACGTGGACTCTCCCGCATCCCACTTCGGTCCAACCGCCGTCCTCAGCTGGAGCTTCTGCAGCAGCTTCAGGGCTAAGACGAGAACAAGAAGAGAAGAGAAGAAAGGATAACGCTGACGACCCTTTACAAGTACCTGTTATTTTCATCAATCAATCTATTAGTGCATCTCTCATTCTTGCATTTGCTTTTACTTTTCAATGCCAGTCTCCTCATTTCTTCCCGGACTCTGAAATTAATCAATCTTTTCCCTGATGGTCTCGTAAAACTTTCATATAGAGGCATTTATAATCAGTCTGTTTACCAGTTTAAACACCCTTTACTGGAATTGACAAATGAGAAATTTTAGCTGCTTGAAGTTCTGATATTGATTTGTGTGCCATGCCAACAGAGGCGCTGCATGTCAACAGGCAAGGCAGGCAACTGCTTGGGGCCCCAGACCAGCAGAGGGCCGCAGAGGGCCGCACAACATTTGCACTAAAGCAGCGACCCATAATGTGCAAATTTTCCAATGACAGTAGGAAACACAGCCACATTTGACAGCATTCGCTCTCGTCGCCCTTTTGAAAGCTGGTTGGAGGACCCCTTAACTAAGCTTTGCCTTTGGCTCCAGTGGACTCTAGACTCGCCACTGCATGCCAATATGTTACAACGTTACAATTCACTCCGCAGACGCTTTCATCCAAAGCGACGTGCATCAGAGAGTCAAGTACAACACTAATCCATTCATACACCGCCACTGAAGCAGCGGGAGCAATGCGGGGTTAAGTGTCTTGCCCAAGGACACATCGGACATGTTGCTCAGCTGGGGATTGAACCCTCGACCTTCCGGTTGAGAGGCAGCCGCCCCTACATGAACAATTCTTTTTATTTCACCTGTAATAAACTTTGACTGTGTAATAAAGATTTGACTGGACTCGGACCTTGTGTTTGGGGTGTTTTCTTTATGCCATGTGAACTCGCAGTCCTGCAGGTTACCAAACTCCAGCTCCAGATTGGGGCAGACGGGGAACTCGGCCATCAGGGACGCCGGGAGCTCCGCGTTGGTGAAGGTGGGCGCGTTTCTCTGCACCGAGTATTTCACGTCTCCCACCTGCAGCACGGCTCCGTCCTGCCACGCCTCCGAGTTCAGCACCGTGTCGGCCACCTCGCCGCCGCCGCCGCCGCCGCAGTACAGCTTCACCACGGTGGGCTCCGGGGCTTCGCACGACGGCTGCTGCCCCTTTATCCTCTTCGTCTTCTTCTTCGCCTTCCCTTGACCCTTAGCGATGTTGTTGGAGATCCGGGAGAGGACCTTACCCAGCGCCTCGTCCTGGTCCCGCAGCATGTGTTTGTTGCTGCCGTCCAGGCGGAAGGAGATGGTGAGCTTGGGCTCCCCGGGGAGGCACCTCACCACGGCGGGCTCCATCCTCCTGCTGCCCCGGAGGAGGCTGCAGGCTCCGGTTAGAGTCCTCGGTGAGGACGAGAGCAGACGGCGGGGGGGAAGCAGCAGAGCAGCGGAGAGGTGACTCAACATGAAGGAGAAAAAAAACAAACTACGACGACATGAAACGAAGTCTTGGTCCTCTCTGTGACGTCACCTTGTTGCGCTGGATGCTAACAGCTAAGCCAACACCGGACACGAAACTCACACTCACAAAAAGACACACGGCTGCCTATGTTCAGTGTAGACAACACGCAGGGGTCAGAAAACAAACAGCTCGCTTAAATAACGTGTCGTGTTGTATTTTAATTCATAGAAGTTGATTCGTTAGCTGCCACCACTTTCTCGGTCGGCGTGAGTGTGTGTGTGTTCTTCTTCTTCTTCGTCTCCTCAGTGTGTGGTAGATTGGACGCTTGTACAGGTCTCACTGCCCCCTCCTCCCCCAGCGGACAGAATTGAAATGGCAACAGTCTTGTATTAACCAGGATATTAATATTTACAGTCTATGATTTAACTACAACCTAATGGTCAAGGGGTTCCCAAACTTTGTCATGCCAAGTACCCTCATATTAATCTCATACAGCCTTAACACTAACTTTGAAACTTGCAGCCTCAAGTAATATTCCTCCTCCAGTTATAATCTATGTTTATGTGTTTGCTCATGATGAGAGACAGAATTGTCAGAGTCTGCAATATTTCTTCAATCAATTGCAACAAATAGGCCCACAGAAAATAAATAAATAAATGGAAATGGCCAAACTATGATTGTGAAAGAGGTGACTGTTTCTGATTAGCACTCTTGAGACCTCAAGATTTGACCTTATAGTCTGGTTCTATGGACGTGCAGACGCCACGGGTTGTCAGGTAAGAACATGGGATGACAGTAATGAGTCCAGTCTGACACACACTCTCTCTATTTGAGATGCCGCTCACATGTTGAAGATTAGTCTTAAAAGGATGAATAAGAACTCCGGAGAACTGAGGTGACGGGTTCAGTCGTCTTCTCCGCTTTGTAGCTTCACTTGAGGTGTGGTTTGATTGACAGGACGGACAAGGGTGTGAGGTCAGTGATAGGTGCAGAACATTAACTATTCAAGTGAATGTGGAGTGATGAAATAATGGCGTCTTCACTGATAACTGCGGAAAGCGGGTGATCTTTCTGCACAATGATGTGGATGGAAAGAAAGCAAACAGAAGATGAATTATTTATTTATGTTTTTAATAAATTATCTGCAAAGACAAATACATAAACTCACCGATAGGAAAATAAAAACAATATAAATATATATTCATAAAATCTACTCCTGAGCTGAGTGTATCCTATCACATCAGACGAGTCTCTCCTTGTGTTTCTTCGCTACATAATATTTTTCTCGGGACGTTCTCCAGACAGCAGTGTTCCAGCGGTTCAGAGTTTTGGGGAAGTAGACGTGTGACTTGTGTTCGTCTTCGTGCTCGATGTGTTTCAGGTGGATGACCATGTGCAGGGCGTAGGCCAGGACCAGCAGCAGGATGAGGGAAGTGATGAGGCCCATCAGGATGGCGGGCGTCAGGAAGGTGGCGCAGTCGCTCGCAGGAGAAAATTTACCAGAGGTGACGTTGAACGCCTGAATCTGTGGAGAGACGTTTTCAGAATAACAAACAGGGTACAGTCATGTTAAACAGAAGTGTTGTCGTACTCGAAGTCGATCTTGGTCTCGAGACCACTTTTTGAGGGTCTCGGAATCGAAAGCATTTTTACTCGGTCTTGTCTCGGTCTCAGACTGGGTGACGCGCCCCCTGCACACAAGATGATGATTGTTCAGTGATATTTATGGTCTTGGTCTCGATCCCTAAATGTCTTGGTCTTGTCTCTAATCTCTGGTAAGTCTTGGTCTTGGTTACGGGGGTCTTTCTTGACTACAACTCTAATAAACAGTCTCAAAACTCCTTTCAGTGATAGAAATCCTCTCTGGATTGAAGGTGCAGCCCTGATGACTGTGATGGTCTTCAGCGTTATTAAAACTGGTTTCAATTTGAGAATCGTCTAGTGTGTAGCCAGCCTTACAGATGTTCAGCAAACTTCAACATTTTCACATCACATGGCTCATTAATTCGCTTCACTTTTGTTCTTCAGGTCACCAGCAAAAATGTTATATTACCATGTCATGATTGGAAAAACAGTCTCTTTTTTAAGGTTTATTTTGGGGTTTTTCAAGCCTTAGAGAAAGGACAGTAGATAGAGTCAGGAGTCGGGGGGAAAGAGAGCGGAGAGAGACATGTGGGAAAGAAGCCACAGGTCGGATTAGAACCTGGGTCTCTGTGCATGGGTCGCGTGTACTAACCACTACGCTGCCAGCGCCCCGGAAACACATTCTTTAATGGAGGGTTTTAGTTGATATTAGTAGATATTGCCACGTCCAGATGTTTCAGAGCAGCTGTATCTTTTATTTGGAGCTGTGTTTCCACCTGTGACTGTGGGTCCAAAATGTCACGCCTTTTAGCTCTGTTTTTGGTCTCTACCAACTCTTTTAGGAAAGACCTGGTGCTATCAGTATCCCTGATCGTTAATAAAGACAGACCGTTCTTCTAGTCGTCATTGATAACGATGCAGCTAACTGAATGGAATCTGACTGTTTAAACCGTCTACAATGACTAGATGATCAAACATGTACCTGGAAGTTGGTGAAAGTGACAGACCAGCGGCGGGCGTGGTCGTTGCCGGGCAGCAGGAGGGCGCTGTGGCGCTGCAGGCTGCTGACATGGAGGCAGTGATAGGAGGAGGAGGCTGGAGCGTACACCTCGCTGGCGTTGAACACAGCTTCTTCAGACTTGTTGTAGAGTAGAGAGACGCTATCCACTGAGAACCACCACTGGCCTGACGACTCGTAGAAAGTGTTGGAGAGCTGCAGTCTGACGTCCAAGGGATGAAGAGGAAACCGTCAACAATTTGGTCACAGGGGCTGCTGTCATGGTGACGTTTTAGCATGAATCATTTTTTGTCCCAAGAAGGATTATTAGCATTTAAACAAAATCAGAGTTTGATTTTCAGTGTCTCGTCTGTCACCCCTTTAAGGTTGCTGATTTAATCTTACATTTTAAATAAATATTTAAACATTTGAGTGGCTAGTCGGGAGATAGATTTTATGAATTACCTGATAGACAGATCTCTTAAATCTTCCACATCTCCGAACTTCATAACGAGCCTGTTGAAAACAAAACAGAGACAGATAGACTTAAAACTCACAGACACACGTACATGAGAAGAAACCACTCCATGTTTCTTCCCTTTGTCATTAGAGTGAGACAAAATATCGATGCCACAATACATCGTCGTCCTGACTCTTGTGAAAAATAAAATGGTTGGTGCCAAAAGAAGATTTCTTAATTCGAAATACAACGAGCTCTAAACAGATTCACTTCCAAATTTGACTCACTGCATCACTACTTCATGACTCCACATGGTGGCGCTTATGACATGAATGAGGGTAACGTGAACAGGAGTGCCAAAGAAGAAGAAGACAGCGGGGGGGGGGGGGGGGGATAATGCTGCATAATGCTGGTGAAAAGAAGTGGTAAGAGTCAGGGGCGTGTCTGGACTTTTTTTAACTGGGGTGGCCCATCTGGTGCACTGACTTATGCAGGGGTGGCATTACGTTTGTGGGCACACACATGCAAATTCATTTATTTTTCTTACCCTTTCTATCCCCACAAATTACATGTACTTGTAAGTAACATAATTTTTCAACATATGCATCTTTTCAGCTTGATTCTTTAGGAATTAAAAACAAAGATTTATGTGCAAAGTGACAATTTTAAGTACTTAGAAAATTGCATTCAAACTCTTGTACACTGTCTAACTAAAGCAAAAATACTTTAATTGGCAAGTAATTGATTTGCAAGTCAGACAGTTTACAAAGTTTTTGCTTTGGGTTTTTTATGGAAAGAGCAAAGTATGTAAAGAATTTTTACAACTAAAAGTACCTACAAAAAAGTCACTACATTTTCACATGAAGGACACTACCAGCA